CTGAAATATCTGTCGGGCGTCGTCCGGCAGGGCCGCCATGCTCCCGAGCGTTGCGTGGTAACAGGGGAGGAGGCGGTGTGGGTTCAGGACGCGGAAAATCCGGGACATGTGGATCGATCGCGTGTCTGCAAAAAACAGAGACAAGAACATGAGAAGTACACTCCTGACAATGCCCACTACAGAGGAGCAGCACTGTCAACCCAGCACAGGACTACAGAACACCTCCCACACTCCTTATCTTCCTAACAACGGGGGAGGAGTTCTGTAGTGCTAACACACTTCCTGTCCCAGGGTGACAACGCTGACTGTACTGCATCTATGGGGGGAGCACAGACCTAAAATGATGCACCTGTCACAGGTCAGCCGGCGACGGACGGGTGTGCGCCATTGTTCTTAGCGGAGGACGGCGTCAGACGAGTCTCTTCTATCCTCCGGTGGCTCCCTCTGAATTTTAGGCAGCGGTCAAAGTCCACGATCGTGTTTACTTTCCTGCTGGCCAAAAAAATGTTAATGATTAGTAGATTCTGGACGTCGCTTCACTGAACGTCAACAACAAATAAACCATGGGGGGTCGATTAAAGGGTCACTCCACCTTAAAACGGTGTTACTGTAATATGGAAAATAAAAGACAATGGAAACATACGGAGGGAAGAAAATCTTCCATAACAGTGACACCGAAAATGATTGCTGTGACACCCCCTTCATTCTCTCTGTCAATTACCCCACTTCCGGGCTAAGCCGCCAACCCTGCCAATCACAACATGGCGGCGACTATAGCTCCTCCCTGCTGTCAGTGCCAATCACAACATGTATCTCCTCCACCAGAGAGCTCAAGCCAATTACCATAGGGTGGCATCCGTAGCTCCTCCCCACCGTCCGATTAGCCAGCGTGCCAATCACAACATGGAGGCATCCGTAGCTCCTCTCCACAGTCCTATAATCCGGCGTGCCAATCACAACATGGATGCTTCCGTAGCTCCTCCCCGCGCGGCCCGAATGTCCGGCGTGCCATTCGCAACATGCCGAGGGGGGGCCGTGACGTCATGGTGCCGGCGCCAATAGCGCAGAGCTCTTCCTCCTGCTGTCTGGTGGCTCCTCCCCCGTCCGGCAACATGGCGGAGACAATGAGGGCGCTGATCCCGCGCCGAGCTTGAGCCGCTCCGACCCCAGGAGAGCTGAGCGGGCAACCCGGCCTACCCACCGCACCCCTCCCCGAGCACTACAGTGCAGCCCCCGGTAAC